CCGTCGCAGCGTCGAATGCCGTGGCAGCTTTGTCTACCGGCGCTGTCTCATGGCTGCTACTCGGTTGGTCGTCCATACAATCAGCCGGCAAAACATGGTGGTGACCACTTGACGACCCGTGACCTGCAAGTAACAATGGATATGATAACTTATTTGACATCGGTTAACATTGAAAATTAATTATTCTATATTATATCAATAATTTTTTAACCATTTAAGTAAAGACACTCCAACTGCTTCTAAATACCTGAATACGGCCGAAGCGACTATTAACCTCACAATGTTTCATCATAAAAACTTTTCGTTTTCATTCAATCACAACAGATTATTATTCTTCTTTTGTTGATTCATCTTACAAGGCAAAAGAACGATATAAAGGATGATCCTTTATTCACCAGATTCTTGAAACGCACCCCAATGTTATTATCGAAATCAATATACTACAATAATGCAGGAAGTCAAGCAAAACAATTGTGTACATCTGAGTGGCAGTAATCTTTGTCTGTTTAACTGACTACATATTCTAAACATATGTTTCAGAATCACAGCTGCTTCCAGCTGTTGTCGTTCTTTAATTGCATAATAAATCTCTACCATAGTTATAGCGGTTATTTCATTAACTTTCTTCAGAAACAATGTTCTCCATTAGTTTCAAAACGGCTCGAACGATCGCATCGATAGGCATCAAAGGCGACAACAAAGAGACGCGTAAAAAACATCAAATTTACTCAGTCCTGAGTAATGGACAGAAACGCTGTACATAGACTAATAATTCGGATGAAGCATGGATAAGAACAAAAGTAGGTGGCCAATGGGAAATAGTAAATTTCACAGTTGCAGACGCTAAGATTTCTGTAAGGATCTTCCTTGACGTTTTCTAGATGCTCAAAATCGAAATGAATGTTTCAGCAGCAATCAAACCTTTTTACTGTTAATATTTTGATATATCTTGGCCAAAATCTAATGTCAAGACGATGTCACTCCTTACTCAAATCACTTCAGCCTAACGTCACTATTCATTACTTACCCGGTATGTACAATACACTTATTCTTCCGCTTAAGGAAAATCTTTCGGCCCCAAAATTTAACAGGCGAAACAACCCGACGGTAAACCGCAAATGCAGTACACAACAACCGTAAGTCCAGTTAGAATCTAGTGCCAATCAGTTACTCATTTTGAACCAAGGCACTTGTACATACAAGGCGTCTAGCTGATTGATAACCAATTGTACGCGGACGATGCTATTGCGTAAGTAGAAAAACTCGTTGGTAATAAAGCGTTAACATCCGCACTGTTTGATGCCCTGGACCATGAATCGGCAAAGCATCTGTAAGCATCAACCGCATAAACCCTTTATACTGCTCAAAGAAGCTCCTCGCCTTTATGTAGCACATAACACAACTGAATGTAAAAATACACAGGAAATGCTGTTTCAAAACAGGCAATAATAGGGTCCAAATTCAACTACAGCAGTAAACCTTCACCAGCTGCAATTATATGGCTGATTTTCACTCACAGACAGGCAGTCCATGAAATGGAATGCTTGGACCGCAACAACTGAATCTTTTGCTCAATTCCATGTGAGTGGTTTCAATTAACCGAGTAAATTCGCTTTGCTATCCCTGTCAGAAATAACAGCATGAACTAAATTACAAAAAATTAACGAATTCAGGCCATTATTTCGTCAACGAAACGAGAAACATGGAAGCGAGAAGTGAAATTCGATTTGCGCAATAACGAAGTTAGGCACAACGCTATTCTAATACCTGGGAAGTTACAGGTCTCAAGCACTAACAGATTTTTGCAAGTTTACAAACTTAAATGAGGAACATTTTCATTTCACAACCTTGACAGCGAAGCAACCCTTGAGGTACATACTGCAACTTCGAGGTTGCCGTCTGAGAGCGGCATGCGGTACTTACGGCTAATAACTCTTTAAACAGTTTTTATTCTATGACCACTAATGCAAAAAACAGATTGATTTATTCTGGCAGTGGTCTGGACATACGAGTGTAATTTCACTATATGCAAATAAATAACTCCCTCTCTCACCGCAGACACACTCCAAAAGACGAGGCATAATCCATATCTGTGCCAACCCAAGCCTAAGCTTTTTCGAGCGAAGTAAAATGATAAAAAATGACAGTAGGATTAAGGTAACTGAGAACAAAAAAATATTAAATATTTTTACGAGTCGCTACGACGCCTGACCTTTATTAGCTTTCGCAGAACTACACGACTGCAGAAGACCAATAATAAACACAAAAAACCTCTGCAAATTTGTATTTGCAAACATTTTCAACCATTAAAGGAGGAAATTGGAGCAATTTTTACAGAAGTGTTACGACGTGCTGCTGATCTCGACCAAGACTCCATTACCTTGGAATTCCGTTTTTCTCTATAGGGTACTCATTACGGCCATTATGGACCGTAATTTTCAGCTTCCTGCTAAGTAATACTGCTGAAAACAGACTGGAACTATCTCAGCCAGGACAAAATCAAAAATAACTATCCGTAATCTGCTATTGCATAAAGACTGAAACTGATAACAAAATTTTCAAAAAGCTTTACCTGTTTTCCTTCGCAATTTTCATAGTTTTAGCTGCCACTATGTTAGGAAACTTTATACTGTTACTCCTTATCAGGAACAGGAAAAACTAATGCAATCACGAAGAACATCGGATTTCTTTTCAGTAAACAGTGACAACATACCTGAATAATAAATGTCAAAATTTCCTGCGGGTACTTCTACCAAATTACTTCTCCATCAGGAATTCAAAAACAAAATCAAAATAACCCAATAATGAGTCATTACTGGGAATATGTTAAAACGAGACACGACATTTTTACAGCTATCCTCTTAATCACTACCAGTTATGCCACAATCAGAAAATCGGCGCATTTCAAAATTTTTGCACTTAGGCTCTACACGCGCAAACCCCTAGGAACGACAAATGGACTTTCGAAGTCAGTCAACCTCATCTTGAAGAAGGCTCGTTGGACACGGGCCGAAACATCGGCACAAGACAATCACCTGATTGACCAAACTGCTGAGTATAAATAAACCATATGTTCTGGTCTTGTAATCGCACACTAACTATTCTCTACGGAGCACTCTCGTTGTGGTAATGAACACCTCCTACCATTGCGCACTAACTTGCACTATCACTTTTAAGTTATTTCACTGTCAGACATGGCAACTCAAGTACGCCGGAAACAGCTGTTCGACGCGCACGTGTATCAGTCAGCTGTGCAAAACAGCAGGAACGATAGTGGTAAGCTAATTATCAGTCTGACAATGAATATTCAAACATTACGACAAACATTACAAACTTAATAACCTAATAGAAGCATTGCAGAAGTCCGATATGACTGCGTGAAAAAAATACATATTTTTTAGATTATTTACCCTACTTTTACGCCAAACAGCAATTGTTTCCTGTGCTAACAGAAAGTAGACTGCTTCATGTAAGTAAATTTCTTCGCATATGTTAATCTTTCGAAACTCTTGATTTTGTCCAGAAAACGACATTTAAGGTGCATTAAAGACGTCTAATCACTTCCAAATTTAATTCATAAACAAAACATGATCTACTGCATCTTAAGAATCGACCAAACGCAATACTTTCCAACTCAATTTATGAGATGTTCCAAAAGCATGAGATTTATGCTTTAAAAAGCGTATCAATTATAAAATTAGCAAATAATCTTACTTTTCTCGCTTCTTTTGGAGGACCTCTTTGACTTCTCAGATGAATGCTTTCTAAAGCAAAAATTTAACTTTAAGCCGTCTTATGCCTATGTTTACTTTAGCCACGCTATCCATTCGGGAGGTTTCTCCCATTGCGAAATCTCGGTCTTGCAATTGTAGTAATACTTTTTCCCACCAGAGCTAATATGTTCTGACCAGTCACCGATTTTACGATTTTGATGTTTCTTCTAGAAGAGTCAGAGATGACTGAAAAATGATGAATATAGGCGTACCTTATTG